GTAAACTAGTTTCTCCCGGTTAATTGCTTCAAGTCCTTCTGCTGCGCTGGGCGCAATATATTTTGTACCACCAGAGGGGACAAGAGCGCGCTATCAAACATGTTTACTGGGCGACCTCAAAAGAAGACATGAGCTCGTCACATGACCAAAAAATGTGCTCAATCACAAAGTGGTTAACAACAAGGCAGCGTTGGAGCAGTTTATTCTTAGTTATTTAATTTTTGGGACACAATAAGCCTCACATCAAAGCACTGAGCAAGGCAGAACATGACGCAGCAAACTGAACAGAGACCAGAAAAAGTCAGTGTGCCTTAACGCTCCTTGTGTCTGAATCTTAAATTTTCTAGTAAAATAAAGAAATGTCAAGTGTAATTATTTAGTTCAATGTAAGAAATATATTTTTTAAAACAGTGGCCTCCAGAATGTGCTTTTAAGCATACAATCACAAGTAGCGCTGTGTTTTTGATCCCAGACAGTCCGCTGCACAACAAGTTCTGAGTTTCATGGACATTTCGTTCATAAATCTAACGAGTGTGGGACTTTAGTTGTGCATCAGAATTATATTAAAAAGAGTAGAGGAAAAAGTTATTTATAGAGCGGGGCAAATGTTTGTGCGTGCTGAGGGTGTGGGGGTTGGTTGGTTGACTATTAATCGTTAAGGAGCGTCAATAGCTGGTTAAAGAAATTTTGGTAAACGTGCATCCCTATTAGGGCTGGGCAATAAATCTAAAATTTATCGTTATCGAAATGTTGGACTCTTATCGAGATGATTTTTCCCATGTCAATTCATTTGATAATAAAAAAATGAAAAGATGTGCGTAAGTTGGCAGTGTTCATGTCCCATTAAGAAGCTGTACCACCTTGAGTCACGTAAAATTTGAGTCAACATAATACATGTGACAGCCCCAACTAGTGGACAAATGTTGTTGCTGCGCATACCTGTAGTTATCGTCCATTTATCTTTTATCGAGGTGAAATCCTCAATATGTCGTGATATTGATTTTAGGCTGTATTGCCCAGCCCCATTACGTACCGGTTTGGACTCTTTTATTGAATTTTCCTACAATAAATTTGGTCTAAAAAAATCGCTAATACTGTCTGGCTGAATATATCGCAATATTTTGTGATATATTGTATCGTCTCCCCTGTGTCGTGATACGATGCGCAGAATTTCACCAATACGCAACCCTACTTTCTCCTATTATGCTGCCTCACCTGCTGACTGAAACTTAAAGTCTCTGTACAACGCCAATACAAGTACACACTCCCAGTATTCCTCTAGAACTGAGTCCAAGTTGTTAAAACCCTACAAAAAATGAGCGACTGCTTTTTCAAGAAATATGGCCTGTTTTACCTTATTTTGCAGGAGTAAATTTTGCACAAATCTGTAGATATAAGTGGTGAACTGATAAAGCTCGTCCATTAGGGCTGTAGCGAAGCCTCGACGAAGTCGACGGCTCGATTCTAAAAATTTGTCGACGTCAGATCCGGAAGTCGACGCACCGCGCCCACTTGTTGCATCCCCAGGAGTTTGTAAATAGAGGAGGAATCTGCCTGTTCTTCCTCTAGTTCGCCCTCTTCTCCGCCTTAACTAACATCTCCGCCAAATACCGAAGACCCGGAACAACGTCCGTCCACTACTAGATTATTTTCCTGTTTTGCCCCTTCGTCTCCCGGCAACGGACAACAACTTCCGGGGTCAGATGCGCTGCTTCGTGTCTATCGCAGATGTAGAAAATCACCGGGAGCGCTTCTCCCTTAATAAAGGAGCTTCTTTCAGACATGAGGAGAGCTGTTTTGGTGGTAGCAGTCTCTCCTCCGTGCTGGTCTGTTTGCTGCTGGGTGTTTTTGGTTTATTTAAACTTGGTAACTTGAACTTAATGTTGGTAAAGCTACTGTTAGCATCTTCACTAACAGCTTCTTGCGTTGGGATAAGCTGTTACGTTTTGGTTTAGAGTTAATCTTTTTTGTGGTGTAGATCTCCCTTTTATTACATTTAGAGTGTTGTGGGTTTTCGGTTTAGTGTAAAATATCACCTGAGTTTGGTTTAACCCGTAAGACCACTCGCCTCACGCACATAAGTGACCAAAACAAAGCAGCATGGAGACACTCCATCTTCTACCACCTCTCAGGCAGCAGCCTGCACTCCCAAGTTCTACACGTCATCAGAACATAACCAACCAACACAATAAACGCAGTGTTATACAAAATGGAAGGCCTGTAGTGTTTATTCTCTTACAGTAAGAATTTATCAATTTTTTTTGAGGTTTTTGTTAATTGTGCAATAGAAAAATAATCATTAGATTAATTTTCTAAATAGTCATTAGAATAGTTGACTATTCGATAAAATAATCGTCAGAATAATCGTTTTAAAAATAATCGTTTACCCCCAGCCCTATCGTCCACACTGATGTTATGTTTATGAAATTAAAGACAGAAACGCCACAGTTGTTGGTGAGTTCTGAGGAGCTTTAAAGCCAGTAGTGAGCTGGTTGTGGGTCCGATAGCACTGGGCTACTTTGGTGGACGGGACAGGTTGGTGATGAAAGGCCGGTGTTGGGTGTCTCAGCTCAATCAATCCCTGGTGTTTGTTCGGGTGGCCATTTTGTCGCCCATCATCATCGGTCGTGTATGGCAGCCCTTTTAGAAGAGATGAGAAGTGGTGGTGTTGTTTGCCTCCATCTCTTTCATCTTTGCCATCTATAGCTCCACCTCCACCCACTCTCTGCCCAAGCCTCCCTCCTCTTCTTTCTTCCTCTTCATTGTCACCCTTTCCATCTCTTTTTTTCCTCTCCCCATCTTTTTCTGCCTGTCGTTTTTCTCCCCTCCCTCATTCCCTCCCTCACTCCCTCCTGTCCCTCCAGTCATATCATTTCCAGCCAAAAGGTTAGCGGGGATCTTTAGCACCATGGTGACATTAAAATCCGAGTGTCATCACTGTCTCTCTCATCCCCCCTCTCACCTATCTCCTCCTGCTCCCTCTTCCTCTGCGCTCGCCTCCCCCTCCCCCACCCCCATGCTCCTCCTGCAGCGAAGGCCTTCTGGACCAAGTGCTGTGCCTGGAAGAGAGGCTGGCATAAATACAGCTCTCAAGTGTCTCTGTGTGGGCTGTATGTGCTTTCTGTGTGTTGGAGGAGACGGCCTGTCAAGTACTTCTCTGACCCATATGTGTGCGTGCATTTTAATCTGCCTTTGACCTCTGCCGGTGTTGATATGTAACATATCCTGTTTTTCTTCTTCATCCCTCTGCTCCCCGCAAACCATACTGCTGCTGGGAAACAAATAAACAAAGCCAAGTCGGAGGACTTGAAAATATGTGGGAGTTTTGTATCATCAGCTGCAGATGAATCCCATAGCTAAAAAGTGGTCTCAGCTTTACATTTCATCTTACATTTAAAAGCTCCACTGTAGCATTTTTTTCTGCATTATAGGTCAGTGTTTCTATCAAATAATTCACACAGCAGATGAAAGGTTAAGTGCTGCCTGCTTCTGGAATCAACTCGTATTTTAAAAAGATGATGATGGAAGCAGCAGAGGAAGATTGAAGCTAGAATAACATAATAACCACATTCAGAGGTGGACATTTTTTCACAAGCCTTTAATTTGGTCATGCTCATTAATAGTTTTCAATAATCTGTTTCATTCCAGCTGTAGCTCCAAACTTGCAGTGGAAGCACTTTAGCTCCTGTAGAGCGTACTGAAAGGGGTGTGTGTCTCAGGGGAGAAGTTACCTCACATCTTTATACCAAGGACTCTAGAAGTTAATTGGTTGTCAGCAGTCAGCCAGGTGGGGCGTGCAGGGGAACTGACCAGTCTCTGGGGATTTCCTGTAGATCAGCCTCTCCCATTGGCCTGATAGGGTAGGTCAATAGTAGTGATTGATAAGGCAGGAGTAGTGGCAAGATGTTTCAGAGCCTCGTTTGTAGTCAGCATCTGTCAGCACCACCATAAAAGGATGTTTCAGGTTTATGGGAAATACTTTATCAGTCATTTTGTTGGAAGCTCGCATTGATTCATATTTTCTGTAAGAATGAAAATCTAAACCAAGAATTGGGAAATCCCTGTGTCTGAAGTGCTTGTTTAAGTGTTTTCCAAATGTGTTTTGGCTTTCTTTAGAAAGGGATGCTAGTGTTTTCGTATGCATTAGAACGCTGTACAGATTTGCAGTGAGCGATAAATCCTAAACATTTCAAAGGTTCTACTATCTTTGAACCTTTGAAAGAAAGAAGTCACAGGGTTTTCCCCAAAGCTTGAAACTTTGTGTCATGGTGCAACATCATTTTCATCCCTGACCTGCAATTTCCCCCTCACCTGTAACCTTTTCATCTCTGATCTCCCTCTAGGTTTACAGCTGCCACAAAGCGTTTCTGATCATAAACCTAACACCAACACTGGAATATTGCCATGAATTAAAGCTGCTGCATCAGTCTTCCAATTACATATACCTTTTGAAATCTGAGCTGCATTAGTTTGTTTGAGATTTATCTTGAGATTTTGAACAAAATTTGTTTTTATTATTAAAGCTGTTTTTGTTTTTCTATCAGTAAAATTTTTTTAAAATTAGGCTCAAATACACACCATTTGTTGTGCTTTGTCTTTTTATTTTCATGTTTGTTTATTCAGGGTTCAATCACTTTTATCAAAAGTCACTTGCATGTTTTTGGTGTTTTTATTGGTGGAGCATCATTTAATACACACTCTGTAAGAAGTGATTTCCAGAGACTGGAGTCAGTTTCAGAAGCTGCATAACGGCTTTTAAGCTCAGTGACCATGCACGCGTGCGCACACACGCACACACACACACACACAGAGCTAGCAGGTTTCTTGGCCACCCCCTGTGGCCCACTTCTCTCTCTGTCCGTCCGTCCCTGCCTCTCTGTCCTCTGGGATCAGACTGAGAGTCGGCCAGTGGTTTTTCCTACCACATGGTAAAAGCAGGGAACAGATTGGATAAACACAGCCCTTTCCTGCTGGACCCCCCCCCCCCCCCCATACACACACACACACTCACACATACTCCGTGGCCATTAACAAAGCAGCCGTGCGTAAAATAACCAGATTTTCTCTAGCTTCACTGCTTCTTTCTTTTTTCGCTCTCTTGATCTCCCCCACCTCCTCTTCTCTCTTCCTTCCTTCCGGGCCTCAAATCCCTGCCCCAAACACACGGCCCTGCATCCCCTCACTTGAGCGTAATTACACACACAGCTAGCCAGCTCCTGCGTTCTGTCCTCCATTTGGGAACAAAGGTATAAATTATAGCGGCTTAGATCCTAGTGGTAATGGGAGGTGGGTGGGTGCACACGTGTCGTCCAGAGGAAGGGGGAGATCACTCACTTTTTTCAGGTGCCTAGTTTGGTTGTGACTTGCAAGCTGCCGTTGCAGTTAGTTTTTTGGCTCGGTTATGTTTGTCTGTCTGTGTCTCAGAGGAAACATGGTGTTGTTGACATGGCACAGCCTGTAGTAAAGCCTGGAGGCTACAGACAGTTTAGCTGCCAAACTGTCGAAGGCACAGACACGACTGCAATGAGTTGCTGTTGGCTAATCTTTCTGCCTTCTTCCTTCCTTCCCTGCAAACTTAACACCACATAAACCAAGTGATCTTCAGCTTTTGGATCAACTGCATTCCACTTGTGTTGAGACTCATACAAACTCATAAATACTACAAATGATAAAACTGATCATGGAAAACTCTCATAACTGGCTCAGAAATGTGGATAGTCTCATGCAAACTGTTCGCCACATTCCTCTGATTGCAAACATTATAATTAACATGACAAATATTTAGAGCATGAACAAGAAAAGGTGTGCCAGTCCACTCACGCCACAAGGACTCATCCACCCGATGATAAATTTAGATGGGTCAAAAACATCAAAAATATATTTTTTATTGACTTTTCTTAATTTTACTACAGGAATTGATTAAGAAGGAAGATATGAGAACTGTTTTTACTGGAATGAGTGTGAGTTCTCATATTTTTCTAATATTTTGTGTTTGGGTTTCTGTTGAACGAAGGCCCATGTCTAATGCACTACAGTGAATACCTTTGTGATGCTGCTGAGTGCCAGAGAGGCCATTCAATTGCAGCAACTTGGCAGTGATGTTCTGTGGTTTCGGCTTGGCTGAACGAGTGGCCTCGATAATTGTGGTTTGACAGATCTGCAGTCAGTGTGAATTTCTGACCCTGGCTGGTGAGCGCCAGTTCATTTGTCAACTCTGCTACAACTATTGCTTTAAAACGGCTCGGCTATTACTTGTGATTTTCAAGGTGAGGTAAAAGTTGTTGACTGTTAAATTTTGTTTTATGTGCCTCGAATGCTTTCTGTAGCAGTAACAGAGCTAAACTCTTTTTGTACTCTGTCTGCTTGTTGAAGGGAAACTGCTGCCACTTCAAGGTCAGAGTCCTGTTCAAGAATCTCAAGTTTTATTTTGGGACACAGTTTGCTTGCAGTGGCAACACACAAACACAAAGGAAAATCTGTTTCCCACTAACATTAAACCCATCAGCTGCCCTCAACTGTGTTTCATCCCTTCCTGGTAACAGTTTCATTGTGGATTGATCATTTTGTTGGGAAAAGGAGGCATTTGATGATTAAAACTTACAAGAAAAACTTACTCAGGAGCTACATCACCATAAGTTGTGGCATATTGTAAATATATTTACCATTTAAAAAGCTTTTTTTATCTCTAATAATTGTTCAAAACTGTTTCAATCTTCTCCCATGACTTTATCAGTTTACTTAGTTAAGGATGCCCCATTACTCTTAATTGTAACTGTATTCGATACAAATTTATATAATTGCCTGTTATGTTGCTGTGTGGGGTGATGGCAGCTACCTGCAGAAATAATATTTTTAGTTCTTAACACAGAGTACAAAATGCTGTAACATAAATTTGCACAATGTATTTTCTTTTGTAACAAAAAGAAAGTCATAATGGGCAATCAGGCAGGGTACACCCTGGACAGGGAGCCAGTCCATCGCAGGGCAACACAGAGACACACAGGACAATTATGCGCACACACACACACACACACACACACACACACACACACACCAAGGACAATTTAGACAGACCAATTAACCTAACAGTCATGTTTTTGGACTGTGGGAGGAAGCCGGAGTACCCGGAGAGAACCCATGCATGCACAGAGAGAACATGCAAACTCCATGCAGAAAGACCCCAGGCCGGGAAGCGAACCCAGGACCTTCTCGCTGCAAGGCAACAGCTCTAGCCACTGCGCAGCCCTGAAAGAGCAGTCATTTCAGTTTTAATTATGTGGCCACTGATTTGCAGATTTCTTATTTAATCAGTTCTTAACTACACACTTTTAATACATAAATGGCTGCAGGCCATACATTTGGTTAGAATGGAATGTTTTCTCCAGGTCAGGGATGAGGTCCTGCTTCAAGTGGAGGAGTTTTAAGTATCTTGGTGTTTTGTTTACTAATGATAGAAAACGCAGCGCTAGAATTAATGGTTGTATTGGTGCTGCGTCTGCAGTGATGCAGGCATTGTACCAGTCTGTTGAGGTGAATAGGGAGCTGAACCAAAAGCAGAACCTCTCAATTTACCGGGCAATCTATGTTCCAACACTCATCTCTGGTCACAAGTTTTGGGTAGCGATGGAAAAAATGAAATTGCGATACAAGTGACTGAAATTTGTTTTCTTCCTAAAGTCCCATCCTAGACAAATCTCTTGTGGTGAACAGAGTAGTGGAAACAACGGTGAACGTGAACATGATTAACACATCTGTGACTGGCCCAGTGACGCCACTTTCACAACCAAATTTATCCTCCCAACAGTCCTTGAGCAGTGTCAGAAAACCCATGACTCTAGTCTAGTCTTGGGAGATGGGACAAATGAATCAACCGTCGGCGATGGGCTGAGATGGTATGGTTGTTTTTTACAGGAGGCGATTTGTTTGTTTGCCCGTGAGTTAGTTTGTTAATGACAAATATTTTACACGTTATGAACAGAGAACATCATGAAGGTAACGATCAGTAAAAGATCTGGAACAGCGCATCTGAGCATTTTCTCGCCTTCTCCGCCTCCCACTGCTGACAATGCTGAGGAGGGGCTCGGAGAAAGTCTGTGACGCACTCGACATTGTGCACAGCACCGAGGTGTTGAGTGGAAAGTAGAAACCTTCCATCTTTCAGAGTCTGGAATACTTCTGGTTATTTCATTTGGTTCGGTTGTGCTTTATTTGAGTGCTGTCCTGATTTTAAAACTTTGGCTTAAGTAGCGCTCATTAGGGCTGCAACAACGAATCGATAAATTCGATGAAAATCGATTACTAAAAGCGTTGGCAACGAATTGCGTCATCGATTCGTTGTGTCGCACAACTCTTCCAAACACCCCCTTCCCGCCCGCCGTTGCGCGCAGACCAGAGCAAGTCAGATCAGGGCGAGGGAGAGCCCGCAGATCAGCGCGAGGGAGAGCTGGCAGATCAGCGCGAGGGAGAGCCGGCAGATCAGCGCGAGGGAGAGCCGCAGATCAGCGCGAGAGAGAGCCAGTACCGGCAGATCAGCGCGAGGGAGAGCCTGCAGACTTGCGCTGCTGCGAACCGGTTCCGCATTATTGCGCAGCGATCCAGGCAGCTGCTTCCAGCGCACGGTCCATTCTCAAAGTGGCGCAACCAAAAAAACTATAATTAGCACACGATCGTTCTTGTCTGCACATGTTCTCTATTTTCTGTCTTATTTGTGCCTGAAGCGCGCTACTGCGGAGCTCATCACCTGTGCTGTGGTGATGTCACCTCACGCAGCATCGAAAACGCGCTCTGCGCTTTGTGGTCAGGAGATCTCTTTGATCTGCTCAAAAGTAACTGATGAGGTGAAAAGGTAAGAATCCAGGCAACATATTTTCTGGAGAATTATGAGGAGATGCAGGAAGATGAGAGACAGACAGGACAGGAAAATAGTTAAATAAAAACAAGAAAACAAAGTAAAATGTAGGTAGATTTATCTCCACTACACGTTTTTACCAGTAAAAAACAAGTTATACACATGTCATATTTATACATCTGATACAATTCAGATCACCTTCAAAACTCAGTCACACACCCAGGGCCGTTTCAAGACATTTTGGGGGCCAAGGCAAAATGCCCCCCCCCCATAACTGGGCTCCCCAGAAGCCTCTGTGTAATTCATACCTTCTCCAGGAGTGTTAGTTAAACAGTGTTTATAAAAGCTCCTCAGACATTACTGACATGTTCTAATATTATCAGATGAAAAACTAAATTATCAGACATGCTGTCTCATCTGCTTCTTTTCTAAACTTGCAAAAAGTAACAAAACCATTTGAAAGCCACTATTTGTGGATTCTCTGAAAGTTTCCATGGAGTGTGTGACAACTTATTTTATCATTGATCCTATCATCTAATCTCACAGCTGAAACAAGCATCCTTAATAATCTGTGCACAGGAAGCTTACCGATGCTGTAGTAAAACAAAAGGTATAATAATTTGTTATTAATAAAACCTTGTTGCAGCACTAAAGCAGAAAAATTAGATTTAGCATTAAATATGCAAAATATTTACATATGAATTGTTTTAGAGCCCTTTTATTGGCAGAATCTGATATTAATTTAATTCTTACAAAAAATGGGTCCCAACATGGTTTGTGTGGCGTTGCCATAGTGTGACGTCATAGGCACAGATCCCCTGTCCTCTTGTTTGGAAATGGAAATATGATCACCCTATGTTAAACAAACTGTCCACCCGGGCTTTTGCGCTGCACAGAGACGCTTCGTTGCCTATACTGAACGTCAGTTGAGAGTCAGTCTCATGCAGACTGACCAATGAAGAGAGGGCCTCAAGTTAAGACCCTCTCCTCATTGGTCAGTCCACACGAGGTGGGTCAAAGGTTACTCTGGGCGGGTTATGTGTTGTCAGGCATTCAAGTATTGAGTATATTTACTGCATATTACAGTAAAATATTCTGTATGTGACCACATTATGGTGATCCTCGGGTCGTGATGATGGAGCCCTTGAATATTGTTGCCCAGGGTACAACAAAGTGTTAATCTGGCCCTGGTTCCGCCGTCACATTCCCGCAGAAACTGGTTGATCACACGGGGGCCAGACTACTAGCATGTGGTTTTACAACCACAATGTCCTCGGAAGCAAAAAATGCTTTTAAAAGGGAGGGAGGAGTCCTAACTGTTGCTGCAGGCGTGTTGTGTGAGAGTGCAGTTATATACTGGTTAATATATTTTTGGGTTCAGTTGCTTTCATGTGGCCTAATGTGAGTCTATTTGGGATCATTGGAATGATCAGCAGCATTTCTTGATGTGACTTTATGGCAGTTGCCCAGGGCATCATCGCAAGGAGGATGGCATTCATTTACTTTTGTTTTATTTGGTATTTTTTAAGTCATTTTTGGAAATAGTGATCAATTTTGATTAATTCACAGCCTATGTTTAATTACATTTAAAATAAATGTCAACAGATGAGATCAAACAAAACAGATGAGAATTGCCCTTAAGCTGTTTAACTTGGACAAAGCATTTTAGGTCACAGATAGGTGTAGCTTAGGGTCTCTATCTATACACCTTATAAGACAATTTAGGTGATGGCATGTTGTTTTTCTGCTAATGAACTGTTTTCTAATAATGTTGTGTTAAATAAAGTGAAGGAAGGAGAGAAATAACGTTTCCCTAGCAGTTTTAAAAAATTTCCCCATGTAACCCGATTAATCGATTAATCGTGTCGAGACCCCATCCGATTAATCGATTATCCAAATAATCGTTTGTTGCAGCCCTAGCGCTCATTATTCAGCACCCGCTTCGAGTGTGTCAGCGGAGTGTAGATTCCAGAACAACATTTAAACATCATCAAGTATGAGGCATAAATACAGAATCTCATATCCTCTGCAGCAAGCTGCTTAGAGACATTTTATTGCGCACATGCGTGGAGGCTGCACACATGAACATGTGGACCATTCCTTTTTTTAGGAATGGTCCAAATAGTGTATGCTTTTTTGGAAAATATGCTCATTCTGTTGGCGTGTCCTGCTAGAGCGACACGTTGTGCAGTTTGACTCACTGAAATCTTGCTCTGTACACTGTAGCATGTCCAGCTGTGAGAAGACCTGAAGGAAGAGCGGGGACACACTGGATAGGCTAAGATTCTTGGCTGGCCTGGGATTACTTTATGATTTCCCTGGAGAGTGGCTGGGAAGTGGAAAGTCTGGGCCTCTTTGCTTAGACTGCTGCCCCTGTGACCCAACCCTGGTGAAAAACAGAAAAAAGTGAAATTTGGGGAAAAAAGATTATTTCCTAGAACCTTAGTATAATTTCCAGCATTACCAATTTAATATCAACAAAAAGATTTGAGTTAGTTATATTGTTAAATTTATTGTGATCTTCATAATACTCATAATATATCTGAACCATACCTCTCGCCCCTAGTCAGTTGCATCAATTTGTGGGTCTCGTAAATGCGGCAAGGAACAAAGGGGAAAGGTGATAAAACTCGATTCTGATGTGCTTAGCCTCGTAGTAATTTTGCCGCATGCGCCCCTCGCCTCTGACTGCTAAACGCATGTCAGCCCCGCTAATCCATTTGGAGCGACTGTGGGAGGGCCCCCGCCAAAGAGGGTGGTTGCGTTAATGACGTATACTGTGCGCCGAGTTCCGGCCGGAAAGGATATAAACACAGATAAACATGCCCCCTCACTAGTATTTTTCAACCATCTACAACATGGCAAGCTGGACGGACGCAGAGACCATGGAGCTTTTGACCATGCGAGCGGACGAACAGATTAGTCGCCTTTTTACAGGGACGGTGAGACAGCCAGCTGTTCGACAGAGTGGTGAAAACACTGGCTGAGCGGGGCGTCAAGCGAGACAAAAAGCAGGTCACATCAAAGCTAAAGGGCCTGAAAAAGAAATTCCTTCATTCTGACATGTCTTCCGTCTGACGCTCCGTCACATGTGGAAGGGCTGCCCAGCGACCTCCCTTTATCCCGTCTTGGTTTGAGAGGTGCCTGATGGCAGTTTATTCTAGCTTCAGCTTTGCTATTATAAATGCCAAAATCCTCCCCAAATCCCGTTTTACAAACGCGATGGTCCTGTAAAAACGGCTAAAGTAACAAGTAGGGTTGTCACGGTGTGAAAACGTTACCTCACGGTTATTGTGACCAAAATTATCTCGGTTTTCGGTATTATCGCTGTATTTTTTAAACGTGCTACATTTTCAGACGACTAAATAAACCCTGAGGAAAAATATAAGGAAAATATTGTCCTCAGTTTGTGTCTAAATGTTGCCTAAAATGTGTTATTTTGTAATTATGTTTTTATTTGTTTACATTTTTTCCCTTTACTCTTTAAAATACCAATATTTACCCATAACTTCTTATTTTTTGTCTGTTTGATGTCATCATTTTAAAAGTATTAGATCAGATGATACTCAGTACTCAAGTAGCCTTCTAATCTGATACTTTTTTTTTTACCCTTACTTGAGTAATAAACCCTATATCAGGAAAATATTGTCCCGGTTTGTGTCCTTCCAGTGAGCTTTGCAGATTTGGGAAAATGTCATCAGGCAGTAATCATTGTTAAATTCATAATTATTCTAGGAGAAAGACCAACTCTTATCTGCCCATGGGAGCCCCATAATGCATAGCGTCATTTCAACATGGGGGTGTCCTTGACATGGTTTATATGCAGGTAGCGGCGCTGCGGCTGCTTTATATAGCGACTCGTTGCGTTCTCCCTCAACCCAAATCCTCGGATCACGCATTTTTAGCTAAAACGCTAACGTTAGCTTGCCTTGCGTTGACTGTAGAGTTGTGGGTGATGGTCACACAGATGTGTCATGAGATTTGAAGCATTGCTGCCTTTCACAGACACGTTTTTCTGCATGTGCTGCAAACAGGATAGCCGTCTTCTATCAACTGTCCCTCGGCATTTTTCAAATATCCAAAAAATGCCTGTACTTCCCACTTTGTCTTCTTTGAGGGATAATAAATGTGAAATGTCCTGCGTGCTTCCGTCTCCTCCTTTGGCCATTATTTCAGCTTTAGCTTCAAGAAAGTTTTGGCTGTAAACAACAAAGTGCGCATGTGCCGCCGGCAACTTCAGCAGATGATACGGTGGCTGGTATGGGTCACCGTGCCTACATCGCAGCCACAGTAATCCACCGAGATAATATATATTTTTAAAATCAAGACGGTTATTATTATTGTCTACTTTTTTACCGGGGTTTACCGCTACACCGGTTACCGTGACAACCCTAGTAACAAGTCAGAAGCTTGAGGGTCCAGCAGTTAAATTCGAATAAATTGGAAAAAAAAGTTTGGTCCTCAAAGCGGCGAGCGGTGTGTTCTATGCATGGAAAGCTGTAAGATCATATCAAGCATACTCTGAATTTTTCAAGCCAATTTTCTTACACTAGAACTCAGTTTGGAAGTTTGTGGGTCACCTTTTATTTATTAATCTTTTATTATTTACACATTGGGAAGTCCAGATAAAGCCATGCAATCTTACAGTATAAGATTGTTAAGGATTATGAAGTGATGATGATCTACCAAAGCTTGGAGATGGTAGAACCATCTATTTGGCGTTCTACGACCTGTGCCATTATTTCTAGATGCATCTATGGGCACACATTTTTTTTCTCAGCCGAGTAACTCTATTTGCTGTCTGTTTCTGTCAACACAACAGATGCACCAATGAACTAATCAGAGCAAGTTTAAGGCAGCATGTTGGTTTGTTAACTCATTCACTGCCAGTATTTTCACAGTTTTTTTTAAGAGTCACAGAACGTTTCGCTGTATGAATATGTCAACGTCAAAACTACCAAAACAAACTCAAGAATCCACGCATTTCAAGCGTTATCCGTTCTTTTATAATCTGTTGTTGAATTGTGATCGGCAGAAGCTTTTCCGGTTCGCACCTCACTTTATTTATTTTTTTTTTTTTACAGTAAAACGATCTAACACATGGATTTTCTGCTTCCTGATCAAATGATGTGGGAGGTACGCAGATGATCGGCTTTAGAGCTGGTATGTTTGTTCTCAAGGTGCGGCGGCTCGTTCTGACGCCCACACAGTAAAAATTGCAAATGACTACTTAAGTATGAATACGCACAGCACTCTAAATGTAACCAAAAGGGAGATCTACACTACACAAAAGATCAACTCTATACGAAAACACACAGCTTATGAACACATGAAGCTACAAAAATGCTAACAGTAGCTTTACCACCGTTAAGCTCAGGTTACCAAGTTTAAATATAGCTAAACGACCAGCGCGGAGGAGAGACCACTACCACAGAAACGGCTTTCCTCAAACACACGAAAGTATCTCCCTCATGAAGGGTTAAACGCTAATCTCTGATTTCCTTTATCAGTGGTAGAGACGACGCGGCGGCGTTGACCCTAGAAGTTGAGCCGAGCAGTGGAGGCAGGCCAAACAAGAAGGGAATCTGGTAGTGGAAATCCTTCTGGGTCTTCTATATTTGGTGGAGGTGAAGAAGAGGGCAAACTAGAGAAAAAGCAGACTGAATTCTCCCCGCATTATTTACGGACCCCTGGGGACGTAACAAATGGACGTGGTGTCTTGACCGGCAGATTTGACATAGGCAATTTTTTTAGAATCGAGTCAGCGGCTGCTTCACCGACACATCGCTGCAGTCCTAGTTACAGTCTTAAAATGTTTTGGGTTTTTAGATGGTTATTTCAGCATGGCACTTTGTACTCTATTCCACTAAAATGTCTTTCCACAAAGGGCTGAGCAATTTGAAGATATAAGTTTTTTAAGGATTATAAAGTGATTACGATCTACCCAAGCTCAGAGATTGTAGAACCGTCTATTTGCATTCTATCACTTGTGCCGTTATTTCTGCTCGCGCCTCCCGGCATATGTTTTTTCTCAGCCGAGTCAGGACATGTATCTCTAGCTCTCAACTGTGAGAGATGGATGGATGGATGGATATTAGGCTTTTAAGATTTTTTTTAGGATTTTGAAATCCTTAATCCAAATTTTTGTGAAATGGTATACTTATGCATTTGTATTTTACTGGTAAATAATATCCAAAGCAGCAGAATTGTTATATGATTTTTTCTCATATCGCCCAACCCTATTTCTACATCATTAATCTGTAAAAGCAGTAATAAAGAACTTGTATGAATGTGTTACAATTTAGAGTGGTATTTATTTTATTCAGTTAAAACTATCATAAATGCAGTTGACAGTTGACCAGAGGGGATTGTTTTATCTTATTGCTGCATGCAAATTAGTGTTTATAACACGCGTAACTTTTGATTAATGGTGGAACAGATGAGTGTTTTTGTTTAAGCTAAACATTGGAAAAAAGTTATTTAAATGGTGCATAATTAAAAGAACGACTCAGACTTATACTGTTACAGTAGGCATTAAAACATGTCACATAAACATATTAAAAAAGGTTGATAACATAAAATCAACAAGTGATTAAAAAATTTTTTTTTTACGAACACGTTAGTTGTGATTTCTGCTTCTTCAAACATCAAATGTCCCTTTATTTCCACCACGACAGTAACAGACCATCCAGTAAACTTTCTCTTTCCGGTGGCTGCTGCTCTATTGGTTGTGACAGTAAACAGCAGTGATATGTGCTGATAGATCTGACTGACCTGATTTATGAGCTCGGTCACCAAAGACATTAAGCCATTTTGTCATGCTATTGGAAAAGAACGGCACATGCATTGGTAACGGAAAGAACAGGCCATGCAGTCAATATGGCATGCTTTCTGTTCATATTGAAATGCTCTGTCACCTGCAGAGAAGGCAGCAAAAGGAGATTTTACAGGAAGGTCACCCTGTACCATGTAATTAAAAAGGTCACACATTTATATAATTTTGTATTCACTGTATACCTTACCGTATTACCAGAGCTGCTAATGCTGTGCCTTGTGTATTACTGCCAAACCCATGTGTTGAGTTCACGTTAGCTCAAATAAACCGGTTGACTAAGTTGCAAAGTAATATTTTTAGCACATAAGCTAAAACTTCATGTTTAGATAAACATACATTTTTGAAGTTATAAGCAAGATCAACCAGTGATCTTGCATCTTTCCCTGTTGATGAACCCTGCTCCATCTTGCTATTAATGAGTGTGCACAGTAAAGCTGGACGTTAATTCAATAGTTCAATACATCTATCGATAGACGTGTGATAGAAAAGAAAATGGGTCGACAAAACTTTGATAAAGTTTCCTCTTTTCATTGTAACCTATCAGATAGCAGTATACTAGACTCACTACTTACTCCTAGCCTATCAAAACCACTGACTCGGGCACACTATATCACCAGGCCCTCCCCTCTCAAACCAAAACAGAGCTTGAGGCAGCAAGATGTCTCAGCGAGAAGAGGTGGAGAGAAAATAAAAATACCACAAATAAACTGGCCAGGGCTGCACGTAAAATATATTTTCTACAATTTGTAAAATATTTTTCTATAATTATTGATATCGATCAATATAAAACATTTTTAACGATATATTTTTCTGTATTGTGCAGCTCTATTGCACAGTACTCAAATAGAACTAAGAAGTTTGGGGTAGAAAACATAAAACATCGCCTCGTAAAGACTCTTTAAACCAGCTCTGTTTTGATCCTCTCTTCTTTCACGATACAGTTCAGTCAGTTTGTTGGATAGGAATTTGAAGCACATGTTCTGCTACTTATAACAAGGACTTGGCAGTCATCATAAATCCACATTGTCTAGTTCAAATACTTTGTTCTGTAGCCCAAATAAACACGAACAAATAAACGTGTGTTCTGACAGTCTGATCTTTGTAGGTCCTGAAACTGTCAGTAAGTAAACCGCAGTGACCAAACTTTTGTGTTTCAGCAGAACAAAGCAGAAGCATAATCGATTGTGACACAAATGTGTTGGTGCTCACTGATGGCCTTATGCATCCTGGCTCTGTAACTTATTTAGTAAACAGAAAAACACATGGTTTTAGAGAAGTGGTGACGAATGGGCTGGCTGCTGAAAGACGTGTTGTTTGTAATCGTCCTCATTAGAGATGCTGTGGATTGAATGATATCTAGTGTTTATACTAATTGTGTAAGTTAATTGCGAGAACTCTATCTCCACAGAAGATCAGCTTGTTGTTTCATTGTGTAATTGACTCACAGCCGTTGCTCATGTCAGTAGAAATTTTTTCTTTCTCATATTGAAATAAATATTTATTTTAATGGTGTGCTGTTTAAGTTTTATCTTTAGCTTCTGTCAGTGTTGCAGTGGGAAATGTATTATGAGCTGAGCATTTAAAAGATAATTTATCATGTTACAGTTTATCATCCGTAAAATGATCATTCAAAAACTTAAGCTTTAAGGGTAGCAGTTTAGAGCATTTTAACTTTCAGGAACCACCCACAAAATTAATTTTGTCTTTGTTAATCTATGTCTATGTTAATATTGCCTTTCTTCAGAGTATAAATGACAAATATGCATGGGCTCTTCAATCCTAACAAAAATAATGGGTTCAAGATGTTGAGATATTTCAAAATGTGTTGACATGATTTGGAGAGTTCTAAATAGGATTGTTCTTCCTCAAAACATCTTTAAGGTTTTATTTTACACCCATTTTCCAGATTTTTTGACAGATGGTATGAGGTGTAGATATGGGGTATACATGCTTGATAACTACTTTAGTTTGTTACAAAGGAAAATTATGTTCACTATTTGGTCGCTTTATTAGGTACACCTGTTCAATTTCTTAACACAGATAGCTTTTCAGCCCATCGCTTGGTAGAAATTTAATCTATTTAAGCATTCTAGGAGATGTTAAGTCACCCTCTAGAGTTCAGACTGAACATCAGAATGAAAATGAGGAGGTTTAAGTGACTTTGAATGTGTTAGGATTGTTGGTGCCAGACAGGCTGGTCTGCAGGGGTTTTCGCCCACAGTTTTCTCGAGGCTTTACAGAGAATGCTCAGTAAAAGAGAAAATATCTAGGGAGCAGCAAGTGTGTGATTGAAAATGGCATTCATCAAGGGTGAATGCATGGATTAAGTGCCACCATTCACCAGATCTCAGTCCAATCCAGCTACATTAGCTGATGTGGTTGAACTGGAGATCCATATCATGGACATGCAGCAAATAATAAGGACACCATTGTGTCAATATGGACCCAAATGTCTTAAGAGTGGTTCCAACAACCTTGCAGGATTTATGCTAAGGGCTGTAGAACCCTAAAAAGTGCTGTATCAAATACAGGCTAAAACATATTGTGAATGCAGAAGAGGGTCCGGCGTGGTATTACCAAGCTAGACCTAATTAAACTACGAGTGAGTGTGTACACCCCATCCTACAGATGCTGTTGAGGATATATTTAATTAGATGAGCTGATATGGGATGTGGCATGACAGCTGCACCAACATGCATAGGTAATTCAGTCAATGCTCACTGATTGTTGCCAAAAACCAACACCATTTTCTGTCAAAACGCTGCTTTTGTGTTGTGAGGTTGTTGTGAAGTCTCATAATACACAAATCAATGACAGCTCTTGCTTTGTGATCCAATAATGCTGTACAAAATGAGTGATTAGAGCGACAGATGGGGATCTTGTTCAGACTGATGGCACTCCTGCTTCCAAATAAAAAGACCAAACAAAGCAAACCCATTTAGGGGGGCTGTGTATGCTGTTACAGGTACCAGTAAGAACATGAAATATGAGCTGCACAGTCCAGCATGAACGCTTATCAGGTAACGAGAAACAGCCGTTTATGCTCCTGGGGATAGTTACCAAGGTGGAAAATGTTTGCTTCCTCATCCTGGTCTCTGCCTTTTATCTGTTCTTGAAAATATGTAAATGCCCTAGATTACTGATAACAATACAGCAGCTTTGTGGCAGAAAGTTGGAACCAGCAGGTCTTTAACGAGAGCTGTTCAGATTGGATATGGCCTCATTTCTGCTAGACTCCTCCCCACTTGTGTGTTGTGGCAGGTGGAGCGGAGAAAAGCCTCATCCTTTGAGACTTTATAACTAAAGTGGCACACTGACCGTTCAGTCA